GGGCCGGTACTGCGCGGTGGGCCGGCCATGCTGAAGGTGCTGCTCCTGAACGTCAGCAGGGCTGTCACCCGCGATGTCCTCATCTCCTTTTCCCCTGTGGAGGTGAGATGTGCCCCTCTTCCTCACTTGGAAAACCCCACGCCTTCCAAGCATCCCTTGGCCCCTGCCCTGGGGCTTGGTGTGCCCTGGTGTGCTCATCCTCCACCCTGCACCACGGTTGCATCATGGACCCACCGTCGACTTTAGCATTCCTTGGCAAGGAGTCATGTGAAACGGTGCTTGGGAGGGAAGAGCCCTCCCCGTGGAGCCGTCCCAGCAGCAGGCGGGTGGTCAGGGGGAGGGGGAGGAAGAGGAGGAGGAGGAACGTGTGCAGCCTTGCACCTCCTGCCCACCCCCAGGCTCTCCCACTCTCTGGAGGTCCCAGGGGACTATGTCCCATGGAGTGATGGTGGGTTGGGGCTCTCCTGCGAGCTGCTCCCTGCTCTGCCCCTTCGCTGCTGGAGGCTGGGGATGAGGATCTCTCCTTCTGCCCTTGGGGCTTCTGCTGGTGTTGCTGAGCAAAACCCACCTGGGCAGGGCTGAATTTGTGCCTGGAGCAAGGCCAGTGGGTCCTGCACAGAGAGGCAACACTGTCAGCAAGCAACCCCCCATTGCTGCAGGGCCCTAGGGTGCTGAACATGACGGAGGAGGGGAAGGCAGGCAAAATCCAGCTCCCCAGGGCCATATTCCAGTCCCTGAGCAGTCAGACAGTGCGTGTGGTGGTGACGGTCCTCAACATCCGGAAGCTTGGCATGTTCGAGGTATGAGCCGGCATTGCAGGCATCCCTCCGTCCGCTGGCACTTGCTACCTGCCGGCTGGGCTCAGGTGGCATTGCCTCCATGCAGGAAGTCAACCAGACAGGGCAGGTCCTGGATGACACCGTGGTGGGCATCAAGGTGGGAGAGATGAGCATCTCCGGGCTGCAGGACCCCCTGCAGCTCACCTTCGCCCATGGGCAGTTGTCCCACGTAAGTCAGCTGTGCCCTCCCTCCATCTTTCCTCTGGTGTCCCTCACCGTGGTGTCAGCTGGTGCTGCTCTCCCCCCTTGCAGGCTGTCACCCCTCAATGCGTCTTCTGGGATCCCAGCAAAGGTACGGTCCTCGGAGGGGCCGGGTGCGGGGCCGGGCGTGGGTGCTGTGCCCGGTGCTCACGGCCATCACCCTATGCCTGTCACAGGGCAGGCAGGAGGCTGGAGCAGCAGCGGATGCGTCACACAGCCCGGGGACAAGGGGACAGTCTGCTCCTGCGACCACCTCACCTTCTTCACCCTCCTCCTGGTGACAATCCCATCCCTCGCAGCTCCTGCTTGTACCCCGGCTGCACTGCCTGTCCCACCTTGGTGGCCCCTTGGGTGTCCCGAGTAGCTGCACGGGGACAGTCACAGCTGCTCCCAGACAAGCCCAGGCCCCAGAGTAAAGCCCAGCCCCAGCTCAGGAGGGCAGCAGCAGCTCAGCAGGGTGGAAACGGTCCCCAGCTTAGTGCAGGCTCTGGAGCAGCGAGGCTTGGGGTCCCATCTCCTGGTGAAGGCTCCCAGGAGGGTGCTCGTGGTGGGCCACTGTAGCCTTTGCTCATCCCTCACCCCACCCCAGGGAACATCTCTGAGCCACCACTGCCCTGCTCCCCCTAAAAACCTTCTGGGAGGACAAACCAGAGGCTTGCATGGGGTCCCTGCAGCAGCCCACCGGGGTTATCAGCCTCGTGGCTCTGGTAGCTGCAGTCGGGTTTTCTAGGCTGGTTCAGGGCCTGACTAACCCAACGTCTGCATGTTTGGCAGAACCCAGCTCTGGATGGGGCCACAGCACAAACCTTGATGGCTGTTGCCACTGCTGGCTGTGGGGTAGCCATAGCTTTCTCCATCTTCACCATCACCTTCTGCATCTTCTTAAGGTAGGATGTACCAGCAGCTCCCTGGGGCCTCGTCAGGCTGGGAGAGATGTGGGGCAACTCCAGTGCCTCTGTATGAACCTGCTGCGGTACGGCATGGGGACCCGCTCCGCTGTGACCCTCGCCTTTTCTGCTCCCTCTGGGGATGCTCAGGTGCAGGTTCAGGTTTGAGGAGACCCTCCGCATCAACCTGGGGCTGCACGTCAACCTCGTGGGCAGCCTGCTCCTTCTCAACCTCATCTTCCTGCTCAACAGCAGGCTTGCCGGTGGGACCCAGCCAGTCACCTGCAAGGTCCTAGGGGGGGTCACCCACTACTGCCTGCTCTGCTGCTTCACCTGGATGGCACTGGAGGGCTGTCACCTCTACCTCCTCTTCGTCAAGGTCCTCGGCACCTACATCCACCACTACCTGGCGAAGCTGTGCCTGGTCGGCTGGGGTGAGTACCAGTAGCCTGGGCAAGAGCTGGGGGGGAGAGGGGGGCAGTGGGTTACAACCAGAGGGGAAACAGGGTGAGGCAGTGATGGGCAGAGAGCGAACAAGGCCCCATCCTGCCCAAAAATACTGTGGTCAGGGCCGGGAAGTGTCTTATATGGGCTTGGGGCACCAAATTCAGGGCAGCACCCACAGGCATCTTCCATCCCCCTGGGGACCAGCCTCCTGCTCATCAAGTAAGTGATGCCCTCCAGGGTCTTGGTTCCCCTGTTGCCAGCCCTCCACGGGCACCTTGGGGTGCACTGGAGCAGATGATCCCACAGAGAGGTCAGGGGACACCTCAAGCCCCAGCGCTGTCCTTCACTCTCCGCACTGTGTCCCAGCAGCAGCTGTTGTGCCCCTGGCACTTGTGCAACCTCAGCGGGTCCCTAAGCCCCATCGTCCCGGAGAGCAACACATCCAGGGCCATGCAGAGGCCCCCCAAGCCGATCACCTCACCCACTGCTTGCCTCCTCCATGTGCCTCCCGTGTTCTTCCAGGCTTCCCCGCTCTCGTGGTGGGGGTGGCAGGAGTTATCGGCAGCTACGGCGAATACAACATCCGGACCGCGGACCACCAGGTTATAGCCCACCTGTGCGTGCACTGCTGCCCACCAGGATTAGGCAAACCTTTGGCATGGGGAGCGGTAACCCGGTCCTGCTGGGAGCACGGCGATGGGGGCTTGCGCCCATCCTGCTCAGCTTTACGCCATGCTTCTGCTTCCCTAATTACGATTACAACACAGCAGCTTTCTACAGCTGTGGTAACCACCACCCCCCCACCTCTCACGCTGAGCCTCCTCGGTCATGCCTGCAGGCCTCCAGGTCATGGAGGGACATTCAAAGTCCACCTGGAGCTTCCCCAGGCTCCCTCCCAGCTGAGCAACCACTGTCCCCCCCTGCAGATCCGCACCACTGTCCCCCCTGCTTCACCCTGGCCTTGGAAAACCCCACCAGCACAAGGGTGTCCCTGCATCCCCAAACACCCCCCTCCCCGGGGAGGCTCCCATGGGTGCTGCCGGGGCTAGCAGAGCTGCTGGAGGTACCGTGGTTGTCTCTTTTTGCAGGTGCTGGATCACTTCCAAACATCTCCTGGTCCACTACATCACCAACTGCGGCTACTTTGGCCTCATCTTCCTCTTCAACATGTCTGTCTTCGGGGTGGTGACCCAGAAGAGCTGCCGTCTGCAGGGCACAGGGGTGGTGCAGGGAGACCGCAAGGCCTGGAAGGTGGCCCTGGTGGCACTGGGGCTCTTCTGCCTGTTGGGAGCCACCTGGGCCCCGGCGTTCTTCACCCATGGCACCTCCTCCGCGCCCATGGTCTACTTCTTCACCATCCTCAACTCCCTCCAAGGTGCTGGCTCCAAGATGGGCTCTCTGGGCTCGCGTGGGGAAGATGGAGGAGGCAGGCGTCAGCCTGGTAGCGGGTTGACCAGGGGTCCCAAGGCACCAGCCTCTTCCCAGCACTGTCAAGCTCTTCCCTTTGGCAGGGCATGTCAAGCAGCAGGTCCCAGCCACCGGTGTGGAGATGGTCATGGCTCCCAACCATGTCCACTCCACTGGGGGTGGTTTTCCTCCAGGAAAGCCATTCCTTAGCAGGGGGACAGGGACATGGTCCACCCAGGGCATGGCCCAGCCAAATGGCTCACCTGAACCATGGGGAAACCCTCCTGCAGGACCAGGAGCAAGCTGGGGGAACCCCCTTGAAGCAGCAGGGAAGTGCCGGCAGCATCCCGACAGGATGCTTCCCACCATCTCCTGCTGCTACTGCTGAGTGTCTGCCTTCCTTTCCCTCCAGGAATCTTCATATTCATCTGGCTGGTTGTCCTCTACTACCCAAAGACGAAGGAGACCACTGGCTCCCTCTCCCACATCATCAGACTCGATAAAACCACCACAGTCTCCCAGGACTAGCTGCTGGTTAGACTTCCCTCCCTGCCTGCGCGTGCACTTGCTGAGAGCAAGCTTCAATCCTGACGGATGCAGCTTCCCTATGGAGGATGATGTCTCAGTTTACCCTTCAGTGGTCATGATCCACCTTAGCAGGGCTCTTTGCTTCAGCCCTTTTGTTCCTAGTGGCCTGCCTTGGGCAAGGAGCTCCGGACACGTCCCTTCTGCCAAAGTCCCTCCAGGCTGCAGCTCCTCCTTGGTCTTGAAGCACTCCTGATCTCATTCCCCAGGGGCTTTTGCGGTGATGAGGAGGGAGCCCACGAACTGCCTGCCTTCAGTCAGGATGGAGCCATCCTCCTCTTCGCTAGAGATGGCCTTCAGTGTTGGACCAGCCTGGCAGTGGGTTTTCCTGCTGTTGGAGGCAGGAGGATTGACTCAGGAGGTTCATGTCTGGGAGTTAGCAAAAAAAAAAAAAAGAGAAATCCCACGAGATTCTTTGCAGTACAGCCCTTCCACATGAACCAGGGCCAAGCTCTTCAGGCAGGGATCTTGCTGGACATCCCTCCTGCAAAACACCCTCCGGGGCCAGCAACAATTTCCATGAGGACACCGTGCTTCAGCCGAATGTACACACACAGCCGCCTTGCAGGGAAAACACTCTTCTCCTTATCTATGTTTTAGTATTAAACTTCTGCCAACTGTCTGAGCACTGTGGAATTCGTCTTTGATGCTTACACTGTTGTTTGTTATTTGCTTTATATTAGGAATGTATTGACGGGCAAAAATCTTGCTGGCAATTTGACATAAATGACGGGAGAAATCTGTCATGAATGAAGGAAGAAATCTGTATGGATAGGCGTATATACACACGCGTGTGCATGCACAGAGCAACCCTTTCTCTGCTAACGTGACATCTGGGTCACACAGAACCACGCAATTTGACATAAATGACACACGTGTGCATGCACAGAGCAACCCTTTCTCTGCTAACGTGACATCTGGGTCACACAGAACCACGCAAAGTCCAGCTTTGGTGGGCAAGTATCTAATGTGGGTACCTCCATCACCCCACACGTCTGGGAGACTCCGGAGAGGAAGAAAGCAGGAGGAACCAACCTCCCATCCCTGGGTACATGTTTGAGGTCTAGAGAGCGTGGGCCAGGAGGGGACAAGAAGGTCCTAGGGATGCTACAGGGAAAAGAAACACTCTGATAAGACTCATCCTTCAAGCACCATGTCAAACCATCACCTCCTTCCCAAAAAACCCCTGTAAAGACACAGGCAAGAACCTCTCTGCTGCCGTCACATTTATTTGGAAACAGCCATTTTCTACACCGTTCGTCGCCTCGTGCTGATGGCCACAGCAGCCACAGTGAGCACACCAAGCGCACACAGCAGGATAAGGGCTCCGGGGAGCCACAGGTTGGATTCTGCTGAAGAGAAGAAAGGTTGGTTACACATCTGGGTCCCCCAAGCTGGTGCTGAGCCCTGGCATGACATCACCTGGCTGGGGGACAGATTACCCTGTGAAGGGTAAGAGCTGCCAGAGCTGGGGGTACTTTGGGGGCCTGAGGGCACTAACAGGACTTGGTCACCCCAAATGGCCTCACCTGGGACCTCCACCCAAACCCACTGCCCAAGGGCTTGATTTAGCTCGGTGTTCATGCCTGGTTTGAGCTATGCCCCCAGCCCTGGTCCTGGACTGCTGCTTGCATCTCCTGGATTGACCTCCGTGCTCAGAAGGAGCCTGCCGTACTGAGTTGATGCAGAGGTCCAGGGTGAAAAACCCAGCCTTCATTGCCTGGGGTGCTGCACTGACAGCCTTCTGGCTGCTGGTCCTTTCCTGCCCAGCTCCCCTCCCAGCCCAACCTATGCCTGGTACGAAGCCGCTCACGCAGAGCTAACCTCTCTGTGCTGGTTTGGCTTCTGGAGCACACCGCGCGTGGCCACGACACCTGAAAGACTCCACGCTTCTGTGCAGGGCAGTGATTTTAGCAGCCCTTTTTAATAACCTGGCATTGCATAGACAGTTGCAAGGGGCTGTGAGCAGCTCCTGCCCTCCCCAGAGGGACATACGTACCCCCCAGGTCCTGTTGGTCAGTCCTGGAATGGTGGGTCTCTGCTCCCAAGGAAGGAGCAGCCAGCAGGTGGATGGGCCCATAGGAGACAATCTTATTGTAGTCATCCCCCAGCGCCCGCTTGCTCCTCCGGTGCCTGGGGCATTGCTGCGAACAAAGCCAAGGGAAGGGCAATGGGACCAGAGGGCAGGGGAGAAGCCCCCTCCGGCAGGCAAGAGCCATCCTGGTGGTCTCCCCCTGGCAGAGGCACAGTTGGGGCTGCAGCCTGGGAGCAGTCAAGACCCCAAAGCATGAGAAGAGCTGGCTCCTGAAGGACCTTGGCCTGCTCCTCTCCAAGTCCTAGCATAAACCTCTCCTCCTGCAAACACCCAACAGAGAGAGGGAAGAGGAAAAAGGAGCTCTCTGGTGGGTTCAAGCCCTTGTACCTTTAGTTCAGGGTGCTGGGGTGAGCTTCTGCTGCTGGGAGGTGTTTATTGTGCTGAGGTACCCAAAATCAGAGCAGAGCCCCTTCTCCAAACAGCAGGCCTAGGGAAGGGAGGTCCCCCTGCCCGGCCAGGGCACAGTGCAGACCACCAGGAGAACTCACCTTGGCACAGGGCTCCAGGCTGTCGGGGAGACAGAGCCGGACACGGCAGTGCAGGAACACCTCGGGGTAACCAACAAACTGAAACATCTGGAAGCTGAACTTGACAGTAGTGCTCTCTCCAATAGCATTCAGGTACATCACTGTCTCGTCCTGGGGACACCTGGGACATGATGGCTGAGTCAGCAGGTGGAAAACAAGGGGGGAGCATCCCAGTCTGGGACACTGGAGCACACAGGGACTGGGTACAGCCCCCAGGCTTTGCTGAACAGGACTATTTCTGTCCCAGTGCCAGTGGGGATGCCTTTCCTTGGCACCCTGGGTTGTGCCCAGCTCAGGGAGGAGCTGCTACCAGCATAGGAGCTGGCTCGTGTCTTGCTCCTTGCAAGGTGCTCTGCAGGGGTGGAGTGAGTGTGGCTGTGGTTCCTACTTCCCCGATATCCACGTTACTGGCTTTGGCTTGGCTGCAGCCATCTCTAACGCAAGCTCTTCAGCAGAGCCCTCTCTGCACACCCCAGCAGGGTCTCCCCTCTGCCCTCCTTGCCCTTTGCCTCCCCAGCTGGCCAAGAGCCATGCTGGAGGGAAGGTAACACTATTGGCAGCAGAGTAGAGTCAGGAGAGGGGGCTCAGTTCAGAGCGGTTAGGGGGCTCATCTATGGGGCTGTTCCACCTATTCAATGATGGTGTCCATCAGAGGTCCCATCTATGAGCAATGACAGCGTCATTGCTCATTGCTCCCTCACAGCAACCTGTCCTTAGCACCCAGCGAAGAGATGCAACTGTGGTTATGGTGCAAGGAGACCAGATGCGCTGGGGCACTCCACTCACCCCTTCTCAATGAGCTCGTGCCGCACATCCTGGTAGGGATCCGCACTTGGCGTGGCCTAGGAAGTACTTGAGCTGGTGCTGTCCTTCTATCCTCAGGAGGACATAGAGCGTGTCCGTGACGGGGATGGCCGCAGTTGGCAGGTGATAGGGCTGGAGGTAGGAGGGGGTCTTGTACAGTCTCATGCTGACGTTGAAGTGTCCTTCTCGGACCACGAACTGCACCAGCCTGAGAGGAGAGGAGGAGAGCTCATGAGCAGAACGAGAAGGCAGGAAGGATGTAGCGTGAGCCAAGCCACTGGCGCAGGTGCACTGACTCTGGATGTGCCTCTGCTCCCGGCTGGAGCCTTGTGAGAGCCAGGCCATAAGCTGTCTCCCAGCTGGTACATCCACACTGTGTACGGACAGAAGCAGAGAGCTCCAGGGGTTCCCCCTGACTGGCTGGCCAGTGAGGGCTACAAGAAAGGCAACCCAAGGGGTCCTAACCTGCACCTCCACAGGGGCCTGATGGGGGCATCTTCCAGTTCCCACCCTTTATTTTTTGGATAGTTGGTTTCAAGCAGTGAGGATAGGAGAAAGGTAGATTGTGTGTGTCCTCTTTGCCTCTGTCCCAGGCCCAAGCCTTGTGTTGAAAAACCATGTTGGGAAGAGAAAGAAGGCACCCTGATGTGGCATTGCTCTCAGAGCTCTCTAGTGGTTCCCCAGGGCCTTTGCAGATCACCTCATTGAAGGCACCTATTTTTCTGCAAGCTCAATGATACCATGTCAGCAGCAAGGTGAAGAGGAACTACTCACTTGTCAACAGCAGTGACAGCGAAGGGCAGTTTCACCACCTGCTCGTAGCCATAGACGCACGAGAAATGCACCTCCAGCTGAAAACTCCGGGAGATCATGCCCTTGCGCGCTTCCCGTTCTGACTCAATGGTGTTGGAGTACGACACGTGGGAGCTGTTTTGCTGGAATGACACAGAAACCAAGACACTAGACCATGTCTAAGTCCATACCCAGAGCTACAAGCTCCATTTCAGATGATGCGACTCAGCTACAGCTGCTCCAGGCCTCCTGGATATCTGCCGTGGTTTTTGCTCAAGCCCCGTGTCCAGGGGCTACTGGCAACCATCACCGGAGTAGGCAGGAGTCAGCATACTGACCACAGGTGAGGGCCCTCCTGTGCAATGCAGAGCTCGAGCACCGGTTCCTCTGCACCCTCCCTGACCCATAAATCAAGTGAAGGACCAAGGGGCTATAGCCAGGGCTGCAGAGCTCAGAGGATGCTGCCAGAAAGCCAAGGACTGTTATCAGCTTGTAAAGAGCACACTGAGCCTTCCAAGCTCTGCTGAATAAGACAAGATGTGCTGCCAGCAGGGGTTTGGTGGAGACAGAAGAGCTTTCTGACAGCCCCCAGGGAAGCCTTCCAAGGGCAACGAGAACTTTAGAGCACCCAGATAGAAAAGGAAAAGCTTCTGGGACTTCCCCTGGCTGTCCCTTCTCAGCATGTCTGCTCCTGTCATGGCTTCAGAGCTACTCAGAATGGCTCTGCTGGATCCTCACCTGAATTATTGATCCACAGGCAGTGTGGTTTTCACCTGTGAGAGTGGCTGCAAAAAACAGCTCACCCTCTTCTTCCGTCTCTGAGACCTTGCATGCCTGGTTCTTCAAGTGGACAAGCTCCCGGGGAATTTTCAAGAGTTCAAAAACCTCCTTCCTCACCATCATCTTCATGTGCTCTTCCTCGCAGGTCAACTTCAGTACCACATCTGGGGGAAAAAGCTATCTGCAATAGCAATAAGGAAGAAGCCTGAAGGAGCCCTAGGTCAGCTACGGGATGGCACAGTCCCACTGAGCTCAACAGACCCTCATCCTAGCCCTGTTGGAGGCTGCTGGTAGGGCTCTTCAGAGACACTGGGCAAAAGACAAACCTTTGGGAATGTGCAGAAGCTAATGTAGGTCTGTCATTTTGTACTGGTTGCCTATGACCTGCACAAGTCCATGGCCGCTGCTACTCTGAACAGACACAGTCCTTAAGCTCAAGATATCAAAGGCAGATGTCATGGGTCCGGCCTTTTTTGAGGGCTGTCAACAGAATCACTGCTGTCTGTCAAGGGCATCAGACAGGGACAGTGATCCTCTCTCTTAGATGAAGAAGACACAGTTTTTGGCCAGTGTCAGGAAGGAGCCTTCACTGTAGCCATGCTGGAGTACATGTGGTTGTGCCAAGACTGAGAGGCATCTGTGCTCCGTAGCATTCCCTGCTGCCCTGACACAGCTACACCACGGCACGGCTTCTTGACAGCCAGGGCTTCCTCCTTACAGTAGTTAAGACTTTTGGGGAGGAAGGAAATGGCCTGTGACTATGTTGTGTTAATGTGTAGTCAGGACATGGTGGTGATGGTGGGGAATGCACCTGAACCGGGTGCTGGGATGTGCTCCTGGAGCCTGCAGTGGAAAGCAGTGGTAACATCAGTGCACCAATGCCATCACCCTTCCCTCTGGTGCCTATGGACAGACTTGGGAGGGCTCACCAGCATCCCCAACCTACCTTGGCAGAACGCCCCTGTGAAGCCTGATTTGCAGCTGCAAACCGGTCTATCCTCCATCACCTGGCAGTCTCCCTTGTGCTGGCATGGGTTTGGCAGGCAGGCGTCCAGGCTTTTCTTGAGACGGAGGGCAACCCCTCGCCTTGGGCCATGTGGGCTGGCCAGCTTACCTGCAGCAAAGGAAAGCCAAGTGAGCTGAAACGCAGCAAGGATATCTCCCCTACAAGAGATGTGAGAGCAAACTCACCCCATGGCATGAAGCCTTGCCCAGCTTGCAAGGGCCAGGATCCTTGCTTAGAGCGAGAGCAGGCACTTCTGAGGAAGAACCTGCCAGCTTGGCTTGCCTGGGAGGATGTGACTGAGAGCCTGGGAGAGCTCCTCAGCACAGCTGTAATCTGGATCAGAGCTATGGAGCCCGCCACCAGCCAGCCAGGAGAGTGGTGGCACGTCACAGCATCTCTGCTTATATACTGTATGTGGCTGGGATGGAGAGCCTGAGGTTTCTGCCTGTTTTGCTGACTCTTGCACCCCGGTTCCTGGCCCCCAAGCCCTACTCTGTTGTCGCCCCTTCACAGCCTTCAGCAGTGCCCTGAATGAGGAACCTGGACATGGATCAGATGAGTGTTTGACCTCTCCTTTTCATACTACCTGTCTGTGACCCAGCAGGGACAGTGTACAGGGAGACTCACTCTTGTTGCCTTTGCAACCAGCCAGGCAGAGAGCAGAGACCAGCAGCAAACATCTCACAGTCCTTTCCTGTAAAAACAAGCAGGCTCTGGGTAACTCAGATTTTTAGCATGCTCCCTGGAGATGTTTGCACTCATTCAAAAAGAGCCAACTCTCAATGATGGGTGCGATAATTTCTGTACTGTATCTCCTCCAAAAACTCTAGGTTGAATGGCACAAAATCATTTCCTATCCCAAAGGGCCAGATAAGCAATGCCTCCCCCAGCAGGCGAATCCAAGCATCAAATACTGTCCTGAATTTAGGTAGGTATTCCATAAAGAAGAGGTGGGAGAAACTAGACCTCGGACCCGCAGGGATGTGCTGACAGTGATAAAGCCACATTTCAGTAAGAACAGTCACTTTGAGTAAAACCGCACAGCTGAGGCATCAGTCCAGGCTCCCCAAAGAGGAAAGGAGTTTTCCTTCTCCCACTACAGCTCTTTCGAAGAATTAGTATTTGCAAAAGGATCCTTGCTTTTCCAGTAACCCGTACCCGTAACAAGGAGACAACAGGATAAAAAACCCCCAAAGCCTTGAACACAACTAAAATTAATGCCACAAAGCCTCAGATGAAGTCAATCTCTCCCCTTGGTACAGATAATGGATTTCTGTAGGGAAATTAATGGCACGGTGCTGGATGAGCCCTGGACACTGAAGTCTCCTTATCAGAGATGTGGATATGAGTCAGCCAGGGCCAGTGGCCGGAGCAATGCTTTGCCACCCCTCTTCTGCCCTGCAGGTGCACTGAGAGCAGGGCAAAGCCAATGCCAAAAGCCCCGCTCTGGTCTGGTAGCACATCAGGTGCCCCCTCCACCTGACCCTGAGTGGCTGTGACCGCTGGACTTCCAGGTGAGGAGGGTTTATTCCCTGCTCTGCTCCTTGCTCGCTGCAGCAGTCCTGAGAGATCCCACCAGCATCAAGATCTCACCTTGTTCTCATCCCACTTACCATCGCCAGGCCACTCTATGCTCCTCCACTCACCGCTGCCCCAGGTTGCTCTCGTGCTCCCCGCCGCGTGCCTTATATCGCCTTCCAGCAGCTCATCCTTCTCCCCCACACAAACACGCTGCCTCCACGATTGCACAAGAGCCAGCTTAGCACCCTTCGGTGGTGGCCAGGGAGGAAAGGACTCTGTGAAACTCCATCCTCCTGCGCAGATGACCCTTCCGATTAGCTGACAGCTCGTGAACGCTGACCCAATCCGTGGCCCTGATGGGATCCCGAACAGGGGGGGTATCTGCAAAATCCCAAGGAATCTGGGGTTTTGTGCATCCAACTGGTTTTGTGGTACCTGCTTTTGACGCAGCAATAACAACAGATACCACAGTGGCACATGTGAAGGCCAGATAACCGTGTGTACTGAATACATGCGGTTTTGCAACCACAACGTACATTTGCTTTGGCTCTTTTTTTAATGACTTCTGATATCTAAGATCTGGTGAGAAGGACTGGTGAGAGATGGAGGGGTGAGGGCTTGGTCCTACCACGCTTTGCTTGGGAAACAGCAACCAGCTGCAAATAGCAGTCATCACTCACAGCGATGCTTCTTGGTATATATTGACTACACTCTGTGGTTCCTCAGAGCTTCAATTGCTACAGTCACCAAAACATAGCAGCAAACATGAACATCCATCCATCCATCCAGGTTTTTTCCTAACCACAAGGAAAACCAAAAAACAAAAGTGTTCAGCACTTGACTCTCCTTGCAGCCTAATGAACTACCAACTTTAAAAAAAGAAAAGAAAAAAAAGAAAGAAAAGGCCTCCTGCCAGCCCTTGCTGCCAGCTTTTGGGCGAGAATCTCTGCTTTCCGTTACATATTTTACAAAGCAATTAACCGGGACAGAAGCTTGCACAGACTCGCTAGAGGTGCAAAGGCAGGGCAGCCCACAGGCTTAGAAAAGGATGGAAACAAAGGATGAGAAGCAGGGTGGGGGGAAGGCACCTTTTCTTTCTTTTTTTTTTTTTTTAAAGAGGGTTGAAACTCGTGAGTTTAAGAGCAGCCTTGTGGTCTCTGAGGGGCTGGTGGCAAAGCCATCCTAGTGGGCAGGGTTTGGCTGCTTCCCCCTCATTTTGCCCCAAAATTCTACAGGGCGGAGGGGGCTGCCACCAGAACCGTGCTGTCTCCCCGGGTGGCAACGGGGCTGCTGTCAGGAGCTTTCAGTCAGGGAGACGCTCAGGCCAGCGGCGGGAAGGGCTGGGACAGCCGAAGGGGTGCGGGATGGGCACATGAGGTGCCCGTGGGGGCAGCCCAGGGGGGTGGGAGGTGATTCCAAGAAATTAATCGCCAAATTTAGCAGTGATTCAGCATTCTTTATCAGCAGCGCTGGATGCACGGGGGATCCTTCCACCTAGCATGCATACCGTGCTTGTGTTAGTTACAGGCTTCTAGTTTCAGTTTTTATACATATTCATAAGACTTGCAAGAGATGATTAACATACCAACAATTTTGCCGGAACTCATTATCATAGGCAACTCCCATTTCCGTATGTCCATTTTAGTCCTTTTGGGGGTCTTCAGAGACATCTGGTGGTCTTTTACTTCTTCCACTCTTCTTCATCACCATGTCCTTTTGCTGAACTTTTAGCTCTCATCTTCCTTTTTCTTGATTGACAGCAGTCTCAGGTCCTGTTCTCCTAACAAGGCCCTTGGTAATGAGTTAAGAGTTCCTGCCTTGAAGTGCAGTCCCTGATAATGAGCGCAACGTCCTTGATTTAAGGGTCTTCTTGTCACGTTTATGCCAGATGTGGTCATGCACTGGTACAAAGTTACACACTACTACATACCATGGTAACAGGCTTGTGTTTCTAAGATTAACTCTCTAGTTCCCTTAGTATCAGAGGCCTAGGGGGGGCCTGAGGGTAGGCCGGGGGGAGGCTCTGGGAGAGGCCGGGGGAGGCCCCAGGTAGGCCGGGGGGAGGCCCTGCCGGGGAGGCCCTGGCCAGGCCCCGGGGTAGGCTGGGAGGGAGGCGCGCGTCTCCTTTCGCAACAGGCGTTGCCATGGTGCGCGGGCCCGGCCAGGGCTGTGACGCGGAGGCGGTGAGGCCGGGGGAGGC